AATGCTTTCATCCTTTGAATGGTTATGATTTCCAGCATTTAATACTTTCAAGTATATATATGGCAAATATTTGATTGCTGCACATACATATTCCTCTGAATTATACATATCCACCGGATTAATTTGGAAAAACAGTAGAGATATTCAAGAACAAACTATTAGGGCATACTATATTTATTTGAATATATCCACCATTTAGGAAAATTTTTGTGTTTTCTTTACGTCATTTTATTTATTTATTTTCTTATATTAATTGATTAATTTCCTTTTTCTCTCTCTTTCTTTATCACCATTGATCTATATTTGTACGGTTATGATTTAGTAGCTGGAGATAAGATTATCTTAAACAGCTTGAGAAACGATAAGCCCATATAGGAAAAAATATTTCTCAAGCAACTTGAGATAAGTTTATCTCCGACCAAAAATGTTAACCCCTATATATATAGGAAGGTTATACTTACAATCTTTTTTTTTACAACCTCTTACAACCATATCTTAACACCGTTGATTTTCGCCAATCAACGGTTATGATTTTCGCAAATTAAACTCATTAATTAATTATTAATTCACAATAAATGATAACTGTTGATTGTCAGAAATCAACGGTTTTAAGATATGGTTGTAAGAGGTTGTAAAAAAAGTTGTAAGTATAACCTTCCTATATATATATCTTTTATATTTTGAAACAGAAAATGTATAAGAATTTGTTGGGTTAAATTTTAATGAGATAAAAATAGAAAGTAGAAATGTGAAGAGTTTTCCGGTGAAGAGTCATGTCCTTAGGTTTGTGTTAGTGGACATTAATGAGTAAGTTATGTCAGTTAGAATATTAATGAGTCAGTTATGTCAGTTATAAAGTAATGAGGGTGTTTTTTTTTTTTTTTTTTCAGAGAACAAAACTTGTATTTCTCTTCAACTTTTACTCTGTGTACTTTGCTTACAATATGGATTAGTTTATATAGGCAGTAGATTGCCTTTTCATGAACCTAACATTAAAATAGCCATAAACCACAAAATTAAACTTCCAACTCTTGGCCTCTCATTTTCTTCTAACTCTTGGCCTTTCACTTTCTCACAACTCTTGCCTTTCACTTACCTAAAAACAAGATTGCTTAATTAAGACTATTAAATATAAAACTAACAAACCATTTAAAGTTTATTCAACAAAACTCCTCCATAAACTTAAATGCTTCTGCCATCTTTCATCCCAAGCATCTTCTTGCAATTGTTGAGCAGCACCGTCGGTAGTGGCTTTGTGAAGATGTCCCCGACTTGCTCTTGACTGGTCACGTGTGTTAGCTCCACATTTCCTTCCTTTACTTGATCCCGGATGAAGTGAAATCGGACGTCAATATGCTTGCTTCTTTCATGATTTACCGGGTTCTTTGCTAGCTCTATGGCCGACTTATTGTCAATTCGGATCACAGTTTGGCCGACTTGTTTTTCCTCCAGCTTGCTTAGCAAATTCCTGAGCCACATTGCATGACAAACACACCAAGATGCAGCTACATATTCAGCTTCACATGTCGACAGTGTCACAATAGGTTGCTTCTTCGAAATCCAAGTGAATGTCGTGTTGCCCATGAAAAACACATAATCAGCCGTGCTCTTTCGATCATCTACGTCTCCACACCAATCACTGTCAGAATATCCAATCAACTTGTATTTTGCCGAGCTCGAGTAGTGTAACCCATGTGAAACTGTACCTTGAACATACCTCAGAATTCTCTTTACCGCCTTCCAATGTGTGTATCTTGGCTCCTCCATGAACCGACTTACTATGCCGACACTCAACGAGATATCCGGCCTCGTGCATGTGAGATAGCGTAGGCTTCCCACCAAACTTCTGTACTTGCTTGCATCAACACGGTCTCCTCCATCAAACTTAGAAAGTTTTGAACCGGGTTCCATTGGTGTTGAAACCGGGTTGCAATCTTCCATCTTGTGCTTTTTCAAAATCTTTTTTGCATAAGCCTCCTGTGACACGAAGATTCCCTTCTCATTTTGTTTTACTTCCAAACCGAGAAAGAACTTCATAAAACCGAGATCTGTAGAAAAAGAGCAAGAGAGCAAGAATAGATTAGAAAAGAAAAGTTTTTTTGTAGATACCAAATTCTAACAAATTGGTATCAGAGCTTGGGCTATGGAGGAAAAGAACGAGATGGAAGTGCCACTCTTCCATGGAGATAAGGATGAAGCATTGGATTGGCTTCTCTATTTGAAGGAACATTTTCGGAAAGAAAAAACCTGGACGGAGGACAAATGGCAGGTAGCCATGAGAAGACTCAGAGGAAGCGCAATCAAATGGTTCCGTACATGGAACTGCTGCGACTTCAATAATATGTGGAAGGATTTTCTAATGGCCTTCATAACAAAATACTTGCCTGGACGTTTTGATCTGATTAATGAAGAAGATGAAATCTTCAATGATGATGATGAAGATGATGAGAATGATGCGGATGAAGATGAGACCGAGATGGCGAAATCCAAGGTTGCCAACGGCAATGCATCCGCGGAAGAGATTGACGTGTCAGAACGCGTAAGAGACGACTCGGAGAAGAAGACGATGGAGATGACTGTGGTCGAAGGAGCCAAGATAGAAGATGAGGAGAACGAAGGAGCCGAGATAGAAGCGGAGAAGGACGGGAACGACGAGGCCATTGTCGAGGTAGAAGACTTCGTGGAACCTGAGTGTATGGAGACAGAGTCGAAAATCGAAAAGGAGATTAAGAAGCCGAGGTGCTTGATGGAGACCGGCATGGAGGAGACCGCGAATCCGAGTTCCGTGTTGATAACCGGGATGGGCGAGATCCTGGCTAAATCACTGAGTTCATGTTTTGGAGAAGAGCTCGACCCCGGCGTGATGAGGTTGATGTCGGAGACCGACATAGACGCAGTTCGGGTTGGAAGTCAGAAGTCGGAGACTGCATTGAATTTATGGTGGAAGTGGAAGATGTCGACACCACCGAAAAGAGACCATTTCCCTGGAGGACGGTGGTCTGAAATTCCATTGATGAGGCGCGTGGAAGCTGGACTCGATGAAGAAGAACCCGACGATGAGGAGCCTAGAGTTACTTTTATAGCGGAATCATTTTGGCTCAAGCGTAAACCAGAAGAAGATCGTGGGGCGGAATCAGAAAATGATGCGTTGAGTTATTTGCTTGATGATGGGAATCAACGGTCCTCAATGAGTGATGGGGTTACTGTGGTTGAAGAGGCCCAACGTGCTATTAATGTAGCACATGTTGAATCAGAAAGTATTAAAATTGGCATAGGTGTTGTAAAACTAATGGGACGTTATAGTGATACAGATACTGATCAGTATGATGACTTGTGTGATGATCATACGTGTAAGAATGGATGTGGAAGTATATCGGAGGATGAGGTCGACGGAGAAAAATTCAAGATTGTCTATCTTCCACCAATGAAGGAATCGCCGGACAAAATTTTTTTTTTGAAGAAAGGAGTACAACATGGAAGCAACGCGGAGAAAAATCAACCGGTGGAAAATTCAAAAAAGAAGAATTAAAATTTAAGGGGGAGTTTTGTTGGGTTAAATTTTAATGAGATAAAAATAGAAAATAGAAATGTGAAGAGTCATGTCCTTAGGTTTGTGTTAGTGGACATTAATGAGTAAGTTATGTCAGTTAGAATATTAATGAGTCAGTTATGTCAGTTATAAAGTAATGAGGATGTTATGTGTGGAGTTATGTTGGTCAATTTTATAGCTTACAAATAGCCTTTGATAGTTTGTATGAAATGTAGAGATCAAGTAGATCAAGAGAAAAAGAGAAAGATCGCAAGAGAGCAAGAATAGATTAGAAAAGAAAAGTTTTTTTTTTAGATACCAAATTTCTAATAGAATTGAGGATTGCTATTTATCACTAAAAGCGAAATTACGGAAGTTACTACAAAGTCACATGACACACATACAATCACATAGCCATTTCACAAGTTTATCAACAAAATAAAAAACGAAAGCAAAAAAGGCCATGAACAAACGGTGGTTAAGATTCCTATAAAAAAATTTGGTGTAGAAATGAAGTGTAAGAATATAAGTATAACTCTTATAGCAGCATGGATTGTCAAGAACAATTTGGAACCATATCGTTTGCTAACTTTGTTAAAGGGAAAGACCTGATCAATGTTGCCGGCCGCTATATCAAGGGAGAAACTTCCTTTGGGAAAAGAAATATATTTTTCTTGTTTGACTGACGGAAAATAAAACCCTAATCATATATTATTTATACATTCCAAGATTTTGACAGACGGAAATATTTCGAGATTTAAATTAAAATGGCATGCAATATAATAGAATAACTAATCGAAGAAATTGGCTATATTTTTCCAGTTTAAAAATGAAAAAAAAGGAAGTAGAAAATTTATGTCCCTTGTAATCAAGACATTTTTAAACTGGAAAAATATAGCCAATTGTCCCTTGTAATCAAGCCTTTTTTTACTTTCAGTTGCTTAGTGGATGTTAAAACTTCATCAAATTTTATTCAATTGTTGACCCACTAAAATTACTTGAGTGAAAATTATTCATCTTGAAAAATATAAAGAGAAAGGTTGCTTTTATAAAACTGTAAGCTTTGCATTTGATGTATGAAACTTAAAATAATCTCAGCATTTATATTAAATATTTATGAAAGAAATTCTTTCAAAATGTACAAAATAGGTTGTGTGAATATATACGAAATGTACTAAACAATATAAGTTTATAACCAATGTATAGATAAAATAAGAGACAATTAAAGGTAAGTTCCATTTACTAGTATAAAAAACTAGACATTCTTAGCTATACATTGACTTTTGTGACTGCGACATTTCGCCAAGTTTCACGTAAGAACAACTATATATGGTGCAACAATAACATATATATATATATATATACCCGAAGGTAACTGGCTTTAAACATCCAGATTTATTTCCATAATCAAAGCTATTACTGACAAACACCAACAAATAAGAAATTAATAATTTTTGAGTTCACCATTATTCTAACTCTTATGATGTGGCAGAGTAGGAATACTTTGTTCATTCCTAAAGAAATTGCCAGGATCAACCTTGGTCTTTATTTGAACCAACCTGTTGAAGTTATCCTTGAAATATTCAACTCCATAAACTTTTCCTTCAGAGTAGCTATGCTTACCATTGTGGTTAATTCCCAAATCAAGGTCCTTATAATTGAAGAAAGCCTCTCTTGGTTTCTTGGAGACAAAAGGGGTCATGTATTTATGAAGTTTTCTTGTCAAGTTTATGTAGTGATCTGCAACCTCTTTCCCTGGCTGATTCCAATTTGCTTGGTATTGAACCTTCCATAGGTTCCCAGCTCGATGAGGGAATGGAGTTGCTGATGATGGAATCTCAGCCATTCTTCCACCATAAGGATTGAAATATAGTATTGTATCCACTAACTCAATCATCTTCTTCCAAATCCCTTCCAAACCCTCTTTGGAAATCGGTTTCTTCACATAATCAGATTTCCTTTTCAAGTAATTAAGTGATTGTGGTTGTCTATCAAGCAAAATCTCAACCGGTGTTGTAATGTTGATATTTGTCCAAAACAACACCGATTGAAGCCAGCTTGTTTCAATGCAATCTGATTGCTCCAAACCCAATTGAGGAAAACTCTCATTCATGAGAGAAAGAAGACTTTTGGAGTCACCAAGGAATAGAGCTATGAATGTTCCCCTTACAGTCTTTGTTCCATTTTGTGTGCCATTTACCACGTCCAATATAAGCCTAATGAAAAGGTCATTGTCTATAGTTGGTGCAATATGCTGCCAATTATAGACTATATCTGTGGCATTTTGCTCAAGGGTCCTTCTAACTTGGAAAACAGTGACTGTCTCAGGAACTCGAACTAGCTTTATTTTGTAGGAAAGGACCACACCAAAGCTAGCTCCACCACCACCTCTAATGGCCCAAAAGAGATCTTCACCCATAGATTTTCTATCAAGTAATCTACCTTGAACATCAACCATTTGTGCATCAATAATATTATCCACTGAAAGACCATATTTTCTCATCATATTGCCATAGCCACCCCCACTGATATGGCCTCCTACTCCAACTGTGGGACAAACCCCAGCTGGGAAGCCATGAGTTTTACTTTTCTCAGCAATTCTATAATAAACTTCACCAAGTGTTGCACCAGCTTGGATCGAAGCGGTTTCAGTGTTTATGTCAACCTCAACGGTTCGGAGATTGAACATGTCAAGGATGAAGAATGGCACCTCAGCCACATAAGACACACCCTCATAATCATGGCCTCCACTTCGGATTTTCATCTGCAAGTTATGCTTTTGAGCACAAACAATGGCTGCTTGTACATGGGATACATGCAATGCAGTGATTATAAGGTATGGTTTCCTTGTTGTGGAGGTGTTGAAACGAAGGTTTCTAATGTAGGCTTGTAAGACTGAAGAGAATGAGGAATTGTTTGGTGTGAAGATTGCTCCAGTTATGGGTTGAGAGGGCTCTGAATGGTTTACAAGGCAATGAACGAAAGTGTTGTGATGAGCTGAATTTGCATTTGCAACTGAAGTTGACCATTGGATAGAAAGCAACACAACAATGGGAAATAATGCTAGGTGTATTCTATTAGGAGAAAAGACTCCCATTTTTGCTTATCTTAATGAGGGTGTTACTTAGAAAGGAAAGAGGATTTTTGGTGAGTCTATTGGGCATGATCTGTGTTGGAATTTATAGTGATCCCTTGGAAGCAAAAATTGTTAAAGAATAAATGAGAAAATGGGTTAGGTTACGTTACCTCTTAATTTGACCAAAGAAATTTCAACTGACTAAATTTATAAACGTAATTTGTCATTCTTTGACCTTGCATAATATGATTGTCAATATATATATATATATATATATATATATATATATATATATATATATATATATGAGAAAAACATTTCTCAAGCAGCAGCTTGAGATAAGTTTATCTCCGGCTACCCCAAAACTACGTCATTTTATTTATTTATTTCTTTATATTAATTGATTCATCTTTGAATAATTATGATTTTCCTTTTCTCTCTCTTCCTTTATCACCATTGATCCATCTTTGTATGGTTATGATTTAGCAGCCGGAAATAAAAGTATCTCAACCAGCTTGAGAAACGATAAACTATATATATATATATATATATATATATATATATATATATATATATATTACCTTCCTCCGGCCGCTTGACGTCCAGCAGTCAAATAGTTATCATATATATAGGTGAAAACATTAAATATGTGAAATTATAATCATACAAAAGGTAAAAATATTAGATGTGAGGAATCATAATCATACATCTGTAATTGCTGGACGTCAAGTGGCTGGAAAAATGATTTTATTTTATCATATATATATATAGTATTTTATTTTTTTGAGACAATAATATGTTGGTCAATATTTTTATTTCTGAAATCTACGTGTGACGATTTGCTTGCATAATTAGGACTAAAGTTATGGTGTGGTCGTCTTCTGGAGCTGTGATTTCTGGTGGTGAATCCAAGTAGAATTCATTGCTACTTCTCAGTTTCACTTTCACATTATTTCGGTTATTTCTTATCCATGTATGAATTTGAGTTTGAACATTTTGTTTATTTACGATATAAATTGATGACTGGGCTAATTATAATTAATTCTGGGGCCATTTAGTTATTGTGGTACATAATTTTGTTTAGATTTATGACATTGTAGCAAGTGAAATAGTTGCTCGTGCATTCATTTCACATTATTTATATGTCAGAATTTGAATGTAAAACTTGGTAGGGAGATTGAACTCCACATTTAGCATTTTAGCCATTGAGATTGAACTCATAATCAAGTATTTAAGTAGTTTATAAGAACTAAAGAATTAAAACATTTGCCATCATTTTGTAATTAAAAGATCCAATATATGTTACCACCTTGGGAAAGAGTTAGTCAAACACTTTTAATAATAATGTAGCTGGCATCATATAATTAAATGGTCTAATTTTTTAAATAATAAAATTGGATCAATATCAAACTGTAGAACAGGGGGGAGTTCGATCAGATAGGAAATTGGAGAATCAGATTGTGGGAGATGAGCACTCCACCTTATTAAACTCCCCAGCCCAGCCCTCTTTTGATCACGAAGTTAACACTCGCAGATTCAGGAATTTTTATAATAGGGAAAAAATAAAATTTTAAAATTATATATATTATTAAAATTAGTAGAAGATACTAATTATTATAAATATTTTTGAAGAAGGGCTAATTATTAGTATTAATAGTCTATTATTAATAAAAAAAAATTGTTTTAAACATAAAATAAAAATAAAAATAAAATTTAGGTAGGGGCTGCCGTTGGTCCTCTTTTTAGACACTTTTTTAATTATATGATTGAAATTTTATGTTAATCCACTAAATAATAATCTGAGCTTATTTTTTATTAATGGGGCAACGTGTAATTTCACCAAATAGCAGAATATTAAAAAAGTATCAAATAGTGTTACTAACATTCCTCATCACAAGAAAATGACAAAATTAACTATATATATTACTATTTATATTTTTTTATATTCAAAGTTTGATTAGATTTAAATTTCACATGTGCATGCCTAGATTTCCTAGAGTCGTTTACTCAAAAACAAAATAAAAATTGAGTTGTTAAAATTTAAATCTTATATGATAAGATGGAACAAATAGATTTATCGGACAATTAACTACTTAAATTTTGCATTATGTTGACAATATAAATTAGCATCATATCAATACTTGCTAAGTCATCACAATTTATTAAACGAATATTATGCTTCAAATCAAAGGAAAAAGCCAAATATGAAAAGCACTAAATGTGAGAGTGCCGGGTAAACGTTGGCAATGATAATGAATTAATGCATGAGAAGGAAAACGTTGACAAAATATGCTGCCAATAATGAGCATTTTTTACCTTACATATGCGTGTTTCAAAATATTCCTCCAGTTTAATTTTTTGGTCAAACAGATTACCAGGCTAATGCAACAAGAGGCGTATTGGGTGTTTGCGCGTATAGTCGCGCATAAGGTAGATGTGTGTAGTTGTGTATGACGGAGATTGACTGTGACACGCCATAAATGCGCTATGACGTGATCAGATTAGACGGACTTAAATGTGCCCTAGGTCTGGCGCATCCATATTAAGACATGCATCACGTTCTGACATGTGTTTAATTACTAGACTGACATGAGATGTGCACTTAGTTCTAATGTGTCTTGATTGGACTGACATGAAATGTGCACGTGTTAGATGTGCAACTATATATACATATAGATCTTCCTGCATTAGTTTGATAATACATTTGACATAAAATTTTGGAAAAATGCATTTCTATGTCAAAAAGCCCAATAATGAAGTACTTAATTAGAACTATTTTTTTATAACCTTTTATATTCATTTTTTAGCGTTTAATTAAATAAATCAATAGCTTTCACTTGATATTATTTAATTTTATGACAGTTAATTTAATTTTGATTGAATGGTAAAAAAATAATTGTAAGATATTATAAAATAAAATACGTTATAAATATAATTTTTCTAAAAAATTAATGTAAAATGAATAAAATTGAAATGTTGAAAAAACGAGGAAACATGCTGTCCCACGTGCTTTAACTTACGAAACTACTTTCCTCTTCTGAATAGGACAACGTAATTAAGATATCATACGCTCATAAAAATTCTGAAAATCTCGCTTCTCTTCCGCATTATTGAAGGACCACCAAGCCACGCAAATACTTTGCTAAAACTTGACTATCTCCGTCATGTAGATGACCGAGTTCTTTAAATATGGGTTCGATTTCCGGTCGTGTGTATGAAAATATCTTGTTAGTAGAGACAAAACTCACTTCGATAATCTCTACGTCTCAACATAATTAGTCTTTGTTGGAAGTATTCAAGTATGAGTTGTAATTAAGTACCACATTGGCTAGACCTAGACCAAGTGATGACCATATAAGTGCAAAAGACCCATAAACTTACAGCCTTAAGGTTTTGGGTTAAAATGTGGTGTCAGCCCACTTATTGTGATTTATCGCTTGGCCCATGGTTGTATCCCTTGCAATGGGTTTTGGGCTCCCCCGTACCATTCCCAACAGTGGTATCAGAGCCAAAGGTTTGGCTGGGCTGGGTATTTAGAGAAGATGATGTTTCAAGGCCTCCGCAGAAGGCTAGTGTGACTCCAATACTTAAAGAACAAAGACTTCCGCAGAAGTTGCCCTTAAGGGGGAACATGATGTTGGGTCTCATACTTGAGGGGAAGATGTTGGAAGTATTCAAGTATGAGTTGTAATTAAGTACCACATTGGCTAGACCTAGACCAAGTGATGACCATATAAGTGCAAAAGACCCATAAACTTACAGCCTTAAGGTTTTGGGTTAAAATATGGTGTCGGCCCACTTATTGTGATTCATCGCTTGGCCCATGGTTGTATCCTTTGCAATGGGTTTTGGACTCCCCCGTACCATTCCCAACAGTCTTCGGCCATTGACCGAGGAATACTTTGAGAAAACTCAAAAAAAATTCATTTTCCCTCGTGTAATGGCTCCATCTCGTGTCAAGTTGTGTTCATAGGTCTTCATTACTGAACTTCCTAAACCATTAATTACCTAATGCCTTTGTAGTTTGTACTAATTCTTGGCATATAAATCCCAAATGAGACAGGTTATTCTTACATTTATATAAAAATAAGAAGTCATACCATAAATCTTAATCATTGATCAGTTTATATTTAATATAACATATTTAATAAATCATAGCAGTTAGATATAAATAGAATAATGACAAAAAATAATAATATGACTTACATGGTTATAAAATGATTTTGTCCCTAAACAAATATTAAAGTGCGATAAATAATCCAAAGAAAAACCACCTTATCAATAAAGCATTCCAAATTTAATCACCGGGAGTCCCCAGTTATCAGAAGAAGATTCTATCCTAAAGTCAATGCCCAATCGAACTTCATTTCATGTCAAAATGATAAGCACTTCGAACCGAAAACTAACAATATTGGGGATAATTAACCTTGTGAGAATTAATTGACCCTGCTGCAAGCTTGGTAGCTTAAAGAATGCCGTGTATATCATCCACCCCATGAATCACGAGGGAGGAAAATATCTCAACGAAGCCCTCATTACAACCCTTGTGAGAATTAGCTTACAAAAAAATAAAAAATACATAACGTTGGAAATTTTGAATATATTTAATCATAGAGATTCCAAATTATTTAATCAATTTCATTTGATTATGAGGGAATTCCATTGTAGAAAGATGTGAAGCAGTTGATCATGCACCCAGCATTCCTCGATTTTAATGTTCAGTTGATCATTGAACATGTTGCGGTTCAACTAGGGGTGTTTCTTTTTTTGGTTTCGTTTTGGATGGTTTATTTTTTATTTTTTTAGCATAAACCAATATTCTCTATGGGAAGCAATTATGTTCGAGTCTTGAACCTTCACATTATGGTGGAGTTAACTCTCCCAAAAGAGTTTTTTGCATTCACAAGGACTTAAACCCAAGACCTTGCTTAAACGTAATTTGTTATTGAAGACAGTGGGTAATATTATATCACTAAGAGGTTTGAACTCATGTATAGAACAGAAGAGAATAATTATCAGAATTATCAAACACAGTGCAAT